GAGCTTAACCGAGCGGCCTCATCTGAGCCGGACGAGGGTGTTTTCCCCGCGGTTTCCAGGCAGAGTGGAAAGTCATACCTGATAACGTCGATCCGGCCAAGGCTCGCCATCGCCCCTGGGTTCGCGGCTCTGCCACTGAAACCGCTGCGCAGCGGTTCCTCAGGCACCCGCTCACCCTCCTCACCCGCTTGTTACCGCTGCCTTCACCTGCTTGGCGTCTGCAGGAGGCCTGCACGATTATCTCTCAGAAAATATGCTACTTGCCCTTTTTCTCTGGAAACAACGAGATTACTAACTTGCAATAGTAGTCTTTGGGTCAGTTCCATAAAACAGGTTTTATGTATAAGCTTATAATACTAGAGCAGTTATTTGAGCCAGTATGTATTTTACAGTGCTCTTTCACAAATGAGGAAAAACAACCGAAAATGAAAGTTCTCTTTACTAACCTTAAGGTGTGCTTTTTCTCTGTTAAATCAGCGGTGTGTTTGATTTACGTGTATTTCAAATACATTATCTTTAGACATGTATTATGGAACTGAGCTGCGGTTTGAATTTAACAGGGAATAGCAGAAATAAACTGTGCTAAGTTAATGAGGTAAAAGTGTAAGGGAAGAGTTCTGCAACCAGTATTTTTTCATGAGGTAGAAAAGTACACACACATTACATCTGGTATATCCAAACTGAACAGGTTAGCTTTCCCAAGTAATTTTCATATTATTTCTTTGTACTTGGAGAAGTAAACTGAAGAGAAAATTGTATATTAAGCTCTGCTAAACTTTGTATACGGATTTCCTAATTTTACTACACCTATGCTATAAAATATTTTTTAATAAAGTTTTTTGTATTAGAATTTTATGTTTCCCTGATTTTGTAGATTCTGCAAACTCAGGATTTTTTCAGTTTACTTAACACATTTGGTTTATATTAAAACCAGAGAATACAGATCTGCTTAATAACATAAAGAGAAAATAGCAAATGATGTCTTTAAATAGTGCAAACTTGTAGAAAATACTCTAATGGCTGACTACTTGTTTTTACACTGAGTTTTTGTTTAGGAAGGTATTTTCCTGTGGTAGTGTTGTATAAGAAACACACATAATTGCCAAGAGAAGCGTAAGTTTCTCTGGGAAAAAAAAAGTTGGGTATTAAGGGTTTTTTTATTCTTCCTGCTGAGACCAGTTTTGTGTATTTGCCCTTCAGTTCCATGAATTTGCCAAGACTTGCGGTAAAATCCTCTAAAGCTTGGAATATTTATGCTGACTCCTGGAGCTAGCCCCTATCCAATCTGAATTAATGACTGAATAAATAATAGTGATTTTTACTTTTTTTTTCCCCAGTGCCAGTGCAAGTTTTTCTTGTGTAATATTGCTTATGTTACATCTGGCATCTGGTTTGTTTCTCTAGTTTGTGATGGCTGGATCATATGTGGGAAAACTGATTTTAGAACTAGTCATTAAACTTCCTTAGCTTTAATTCTTTTTAGCAAGTCGTCCCCCATACCCCCCTGTCCCCCCCCAATCACTGTAGTAGTGTTTCTAGCTGTTTTAATGTTTCTTGACCAAATTACAGGTCTGTTTCTGTGCACAGAGGGTGCCAGTGATTTTAAAAACAAAATATGTTGCATCCTGTTTATGGAGTAATATGAAATTTATGTTTCATGGGAACTTGGTTGTGAATGTGTGCCAGATGCATTTATTCAATGTGCATGTGGTTGCTCCCAGAGCTTGTAAGCCATATAAACTAGAGGAGAAGACAAGTTCCAGTGTGCTGTATCAAAATAAAAAAACCTGATTGTCTAATAGACCAAGAGATTTTTATACAAACGTGTAGAGCATTGGTGCTTGACAGTTGCTGCTCCACTTTGTGGTTTAGGTTCTTTACAGGTTGGCACTGCACTTAAGTAACGTCACACACCAGATGCTAAAAAATGGAGTTTCCTTATGTATGTTACATTTCCACTGAAGTCCTTTTTTGGCTGTGTTCATTGTCTGGGAATATATAGACTATTTAGGAAGTTTGAGAAGACAAAGAAGGTAGTGGAAACATAGAGATGACCAAAGAATGCTTAGTTGTAAAGAGAAGTTTAAATGCTCTTTGGGACATAATGATCGCATGTAGCAGCAGCATCTAAAAACAAGGGGAGAATTCAAAATAAAATATTGTTAATTCTATGTTGTACAACATGTCTGCTGAGATGGCATCAGTACAGAGATGTAAAGGGATAGTTCAGTTTGTTGAAGACTGCTCATCAATAGCACTTCAGCTGTCTTTTCAGTTGTCTGCATAAGGTGAATCTGTGTATCTTAGTGAAATTGTGGAAAAGATACGCTCGGAGGCAAAAAGCTAATAAAACTGAACATTCAGAGTATGTGAACAGTATGCTCCTTAAAATAGTGTGTAAATGAGTATGCTTGAATATCTTCCAAATGCAGACTATTGAAAGGTTTGTATTAATGCCTGGGGTGAAGCAGGCTGTTGATTTCGCATTGATATTTGTGAGTCTGGAATTGTTGCTTCATATTGGGTCGTGTTTAACTACAGCTGTATGGGTTGAACCATCAAACCACCAAGAATGATCTTGTGGCTGTTAACAGCAGCCATAAAATCATTAACTAGTTCAGTTACCTTTGTGGGGATTTATGCTGCCAGTTGGTGTAAAGGAGCTAGCAGTATACTGCTGTTAGTTCTGTCTATCTGAATCTCTTATTACTGTGGGAGATAACGTGCAAGCCTGAGGTAAACTGTAAGCATAGTAAATATTTGGCGTTTTTTCCCCTTTGTTCCTGCTACATCAGTTGCTTACCAAATTGCACTTATGTTAGTTTGGTGGTGTTAGCCAAGTGTGGGAACATCTAAATGGCAACAGCCTGGCCAAGAACGAGACACACATTTTCTGAGTGAAAATAACACTAGGTGTGGTAAAGATTGGTTTAAAAATGTTAATTATTAATAACCTTGATTAATTAATAAGCTTGAAAGTCTTACAGTAGGGTGTGTAGAACACTAACCTTAATCAGCTTACTGGCTATAACTAAACTGCATTTTTTATCTTTTAAAGGAAATTCGACATAAATCCAGTGACTATCCTCACAGAGTTGCAAAATATCCAGAAAACAGAAATCGAAACCGATACAGAGATGTTAGTCCGTGTAAGTATCTTTTCTGTAATTACTGCGTTAAACTTGCTAGACTTTTTACTTACCCGATTTACTTTTAAACACTGTAGGTAATAAATCATGGTCATTGTAGGTTTTGTATTTTGTTTATTTCTGTAGGCATGTATCCTGTGATAAATGTGTTCTTCGTAACTCATACACAAATGTGTATAACAGAAGGGAGAAAAGTCTGCCGGTTAAACTCATTGTGCTGGATGGTGAACGAGAGATGATTGCAAATCATAGTTATTAGCATATAGGTAAATGTTTGTGAGCTGCAAAGTAATATTATAAAGATATTTTTCTCATAAGGAAATTACTTGTTTAATATTGCTTTATCTGTCATTAAAAAAAAATCGACATCTGCTGAGCACAGAAATTAAGTTAATAAGCCTTGACTAACACAGCTTCCTTTTGGGTTAAAGGATTCTGCACATTTATAAGACTGTGTGGATTAATGCCACTGGATTTCTACTGTTGCTTTAAAAAATACTTGAGATTTTGTTGTTTTTGTCTGTTTGGAAGAATATATGCATAAAGTTGTTCTTTAATTTTCTCAATGCAAGTAGATATGGTATGGACTACTTTGTATTTTACAAACTGACATAAAATGGTCTTTTTGACATAACGATCTTATATCTCAGGTGAAGACAGCTTTTTTTTTTTTTACCAGCTTCTTTGCTAGTGAAGTGTTACAGAATTTTTTCAACAGCATTTACTTTAGAAACTGTAATTCAAAATCATCATAAAAAGACATGTGAGCAAAAGATTACCAATATGTAGTTATAGCTGGAGAAAGCTATCATAAATCACTTTCAAAAGGACTAGGAAAAAAAATTAGTACAGCCTTAATTTTTCTGCAGAATATTGAAGTTCAAACAGGTTAAATGTTCATGTGTTCTTTAGTACGAAGTTTCCCAGAGCACAAAGGGCTCATAAAAGCCTTCTTGTTACTGGATCTAGAATTTTTGAAGGGTTGCTGGTGTGCTGGGACTTTTTGTTTGAGCGCCTAATCTGTATACCTATTGTAAGATTTGGAGAAGTGCTGAACTCCTTGTTTCCAGTTGAAAGTTGTGGTAACAGCATGTGCATAGCACTTCTCAAAATTGCACGGAAAGGGTCTCGGATTGAGTCATGCTGGTCAGATGCAGCGCTGCGTGCTGCTCATTAGCCTGCTGCCAGAATGCTAACTTGTACAGTGTATTCGCACCAAATGGATCCAGTCTGGCTTAATGCTGAATCTCAATACTGCACTCTGATGAAAGGGAACTTAAGAGTTCAGTGCACAGCCTCTTTGCTGTGTCTGCGTGGCATTCGCCAGTATGGTCTATTTGAGAAATGTACAGCTCTGAAGAAGATACCTCAAGTTAGCCAAGGCTTATTAACTTCTGCTGTATGCTCAGCAAAGGGAGATAGGCCTCTGCTGGACCTTTGTTGATCTATGCAGAGGTACTTATGTGTCCCAGGTCTGCTGTCCTGTTACAGCCCAGCATTAGCATCTTAGCTGTGGTAAAGTAGATCATGTTCTATTAACTTTCTGTTTCATACCTAAATTGGGATGGGGGTTGTAAGAAGAGAAGGCAGGAAATTGGATTTGACTCCATGAGATCCAAGTTCTATTCCTGGGTCCGATATCCTGTACAACTTCTGTGGCAGAAGTTGTGTTCATGTGTTTAGCATTTCTCCCATCCATGGATTTCATTTCTTGGGCACTACTGCGAAGAGAGTGGCAGCTTACCTTCAACATATTTGTGGTTCTTCTTTCCTTTTAAAAAGAGTGTTTCTAAAATAAATAAATAAAAAGGCATTGTGTTATTTAAGTAGCATCTAATAACACCTGCGATAGTATCTTAGAGGTGTGACTTGTATTCATCTCCTGAGCTCAAAATTTTCCTTAATCATGGCATGCCTTTTACAGTAGTGAAGAGTACCAAGCAGCTCTGCCCTGGCCATGGCAAAGCTTGCTTCTGAAATGCTTGTTTAGCCGGGAGGAAATTTATTATGTGATTGTATTAGTCCCTGGACCCTGTGCAAGAGCAGAGAGAGACAGATAAAATCTAAGTAGTAGTTGAGCTCAGGAAGGGGTTAGAGTCATTACATGCTAGTTGACATGTATTGTGACATGATGACTGAACTAAGGTGATGAACTTTATGAAGCATGTCTCAGTCTTCAGCGTTTATGAAAGAAAGGAGGTTTGAATTGGGCCACCAAGATAGCCTGCAGAACTGGGCACTAGGAGCAAGGCTGTATGAGGAGAACAGAGCAAAACACTGTGTTTGAACTAATTCCTGTTGAATTTTACATCTGTGTGTTTTCAAATATGACTCATAATTGTTCTGTAATGATGGTGAGAGCTGGGAGGAGAAAGAGACCTGGAAGGGAATATATGATAAATAACATTCCAAGATAGCACTACCTAAATTTCAAAGCAGCTGGGGTAATAGCTGTGCGGTTGGTTTGGTCACTGTGGTGAACACATCTAATCATGGCGCATGTATGCGAGGAACTGGCATTGCAGAAATGCAAGAGGACTCGGTCTTGCGCAATCTTAACATCTCAGTCCTTCACTTTGCAAATTTTACTGCTCTTTAACAGTGTTTAAATGAAAACCAAGTGATAATATTAATGTTCTCTGATAGTCAGAGGCCTTCAGAGCTAGCAGTTAAACTTTCAGGATCTAGCTACTTAAACATATTTTAAGACATAAGACATAATTTGATGAAAATGTTTTATTTCTCCATAGCAGTGAGAAAATGGTTTGTTAATCTAGATAGCAGCCAAGCCAGTCTAAAATCTGAGGTGGTATGTCTGCAAGAGGAAATGCAAAGATTATTCTGTCTTATGGAAAAGATGTCAATTACAAGTGCAGGAAAAAATGTTTTGGGTTGGCTTGCCCCATTTCAACCATAATACACAGGACATGCACACTGAAACCAATTTGTGTCCATTACATACATTTCTAGGTAAAAGTTGATTTCTGTTAGCTGGGAAAGGCTAATCATCTTTGCCCATTACAGCTGAGTTTCACATTGTCTCCAGTTTCATAAATATTTTTGTTAGTGTCCAATTTTGTTGGCTAAAGAGCTATGGTGTATATAAGTTCCATTGGGTAAAACCCCTCAAGAGTTACTGCCTAGCCAAAAAAAATAGCAGCCTAGCAGTTTGGTATTAGTCTAGAATAGGGAGAGGAATATCTTGGCTATGTAGCAGTATTGAAACAGGAAGTTAATCTGAAATAAGTTTGGTTTGACAGCCAGTCATTTCCTGACAGATGAAACCATTTCTCAGAAAACATTGTTGAGAGGAAAATAACTTGTGAGGCTATTATTCTTTATTGATAACTTTAATGAAACTCTTAAGATTTCTGTTATTACTTTCCTTCTAAATCTTATCCTTAGTTGATATCAGAGGAGTCTAGTGTCTCAGATTGACTGTAAACACCTTTAGAGATCTGCTTACTGTGTTCCCAGATTTAGAGGCAAGAAGGAAATCCCCCTTGGCAAAATTGGCAGGATTTTTTTTTTCTTTCGCTTTTGGAGGGTAGATGGGGGTTTACGCAGTTTTATCTTTAGCCTTCCTTTGTAATGTGCGTAGCCCAGTTTCTTAGGTCATCTGAACATTTTTGACCGGTAGATCATGTTGCTGTTGGAGGGTCTTGAGAGGTAGTGATTTCTCTTGTTTTCTTCTTGTGGCCATTACTAGACTCTGTGTTGGACCTTTCAACCATAGGCTTATAGTTGACATAGAGTGTATACCAGGGAGAGAGGAACATGAAGGGTATTGTGGGAACAGAGTTGGAGCTGATGTGGATGGTTTTGCACATAGTGCTGATTGATTAATTATCATTGCAAAAATGTTCCCTTTCTGTCCTGTGTTTCAAGTGTATGTGCTGAGAACAGGGAGATGATCTGTCCAAAATAAGCCTCCTGCACTTCTTGTTGTCCATATTAGAAGCTGACACTGATGATTTTTATGACATTATCTAACGATTCTCTAAAACATCTTGTTACCAGAAAAACTGAGTATAAATAAACTCAGCGTGCTGCTTTTGGAGATACTTCTTTCTTTGGGGTTGGGGAAGAGGGGAATTTTACAGCACATACTGATCTAAACTTCATTGTATCTTAAGGTTTTTTTTCCACAGTCCTGCTTAAAAGCGTAAGGATCCTGTGCAGTAGTTATGCATATATTTCAGTATGCATACATTTCAGTTATGAGCTAGGCCACGATTAATATGGTGGCATTCATTGCATACAACCAGTGACAGGGTGGGGGAAAGTCACTTTGCCTTTCCTTTGCCTTAGGCTGCCTCTGAAACTTGAGACTGTAAGTCTAGTGACAGAGTATTGTGATTTGAATAATTTAGCAGCTCAGATAGACTAGATTTAGATTAGTGACATGAAGGGGATTTGCTGGTAGGCGGGAAAGGGTCAGACTGGGGCATTGGGATGGCTTATGGCTACATGTTTTATTTATGACTTTCTTTAACCACTAAGCAGCATTTCACCCTCCTTTGTTGTTAATAGCTCTATATTTGGGGAGCCAGAGACATGTCTTGGATAAAGGATAATTTTTAAGTTACACAGTGGTTTCACTTCTAGAAACACAGCTGTTTTCAAATAAAAACCTTTCATTAACCAACTGCAAGAACTGTATGATGTAAAATGCAAAAGTTTCGTATCTCAGTTTTAACTGGATATGTCATTTTCTTTTTAGCAGGGAGTGAGCAAATCGACACGTAATGTGAAGTCTTGGCCTTAGTTGAGACGCGGGGGTGTTGTCAGTGATATCAGTGGGACAGGGTTTCACTTGAAGTGGGTAATAAGAGTTTGCTTCTCTCAGACAGGGTCGTTCTGGGAGTAGTTTTCTTAGTGCAGAAGCCAGAATGAGAAGCATTTTTAAGGTTTCCACTTCCTTTTCAGGCTGCATAGTTTGTTGAAATAGGGGAATTAGCACTTCAGAAAATGAGTACTATATTTTCCCTGTTGTGGGCATGGCAACATTTAAGATAAATCTTTTAAGATAAGATTTAAGATAGGTTTATAATTCATATAAATCTGAAGTACTTTGTAACTGGAAATGATTTACATACGGGAAATATGTTACAGCTAACTCGCTGTCAAAAGTTGGCTTGCTTCATCTAATTCAGAAGAGAAAGCCAGGGCTTGAATGAGGTTTCTAGGTCATTGCGTCCTTTAGGAACCTTTTCCCTTGAAAGAAGGGAAATCGATATATTCTAATGGCTTTCTGTGTCCCGTGGAGTGTATGCCAGTGTATTTGTAGGATCGCCTCTGTTTTAGTTGGGGAGGAGAAGGGAGGCTGTCTGTGCATAGAATTAGTTGTTAAAGGGGCTTTTAAAAAAACTTTAAGAATTTTATTTGTTGTGTTTACAAAGCATAATTTATAAGAAGGAAAAAATAAGCCTGGAATGTGTGTAGAGGTTACAGTAGGAAACCTCATTAGGGCCTCGGCAGTTATCTCCTACTGGCAGCAATACAGCAGCTGCTGCTGGGTGATTAAACTGTTAACAGTGCTTGCTTACGTCATCTTTCCGAGAACACTAGTACCGGTATGTGTGATTTACTATAACAAGATCTTAAGTTTTTCCTGTTGGCAAATGACATGTAATATTTACAAAGGTCTTGGTTTCTCTCCAGTAGAAACATTTCAGATAAAGTGATACATGAAAGGAAAAAGTAACACTTTCCTATCCAGACAAAATAATACAAGGAGATATATTTTACTTTTAAACGCACATGTGTCTTAATTTTACTGTGTCTTGGCTTTGATCATATTTTTTCCTTCATAGAGATGTATCATAAATCGTTTTAAGACTCCTGAAAGTCAAGATGGTGTTGCCTTACAGCTGGAATGCTAATGAAAACAGACTAAACCAGTAACTTTCTCATAATTTTGTATTAAAAATAGGTTTGCAGCATATTTCTGTTCTCTGCACGTTGGTATGTGACTGCATATAAAACCTAGCAGCTAAAGGAGGTAGGATGACAACCCCAAATCTGTCCTTGAAAAATAAAAAAAAGTAATTTACTGTTGACTTCTTTCCTTGAATCCAGCAAGATCCTCTTCGACAGTTGCCAATAGCAGATAGATGAGGGAGAGTATAAAAGCAGATCAAGACCTAGTAAATGTACTTTTCCCAGGATTCAAAACATATGGAAAGTATTTATAAAATCACATGAGCGGTCCATAGAACAAGAGTCTAATTCAGTAACTATTTTTTGATTCCCATCAGCTTTTTGCCTATCTGGGGTCATATTCATGGATTTCTTAGATAAGCCTTGTGCTGTATAGACTGGCTGTGATATAGGGACTTAGTCTGAGTTCAGCTATCATAGCTGCACTGAATGTGATACTTGGTAGTTGCTCATGTCAAAACTCAAGGATTTTGTGCATTTCCCAAGATGCTTGTCAAAAGGAAGTTAGCCTTTTGGTGCAGAGATGGGAGAGGAAAAAGTGGGCTGACGTTTTAATGGCAGCTGTGCTGTCAGTCTGCACCCTGAATGAGTTTTGTGGGTTAGACCAGTTGAATGTAGGTAAAAAACTGGCATTGCACTGTAACTCACTCTCAGCTGTGTCAGTTTCTTTATGGAATCTCTTCCATCTCTTTCTGAAATGTGTTGAAGTCTCTTAAATTGATTTTAGTTTGCTGTTTTTTATTTACTCTTCTCATAAACAGTCTGTCTAGGTGGTTGAGCTTCAGGAGGTTTGCAGTCAGTTGGATGTCATTTCCTGGCAGGCAGTTGTGTACAAATTTTAAACTAAAAATGCTGTTTATTTACTACAGTTCTAATAAATGGCTGAAGGATTACTTACTGTGAACAAGTCCGATTACCTAAATGTCTCCTAGAGGGTGATAAATCAGATACTAAAAGGTTCTAGGAAAAGCCTCCGTGACTTTTTATTATGCAATGTTTTAGTACGACAGTCTGATAATCTTTCTCCTATTAATGCTAGAATTTTACATGGAGTCCTTTGCTTGCCTCTGCCATAAATAGGGGAACCTGTGTAATCGTGAGAGACTGAAACTGTGTAATTAGATTAGGCTTCGTTTAATTGGAAGATTTGTTAAATAGGCACATTTCTGCATGTGCCCCTTCAATATTTTTAATTTGTATAGTATTAAACAATAAATTACAGGGAAAATTAAATTGATCAAAGCTTGGTTTGAATTAATACAAATAGATTGGGGGGGGGGGGGGGGGGGGGTGGGGGGGGTTAAATTTTTGTTTTTGTGTCAACCTATGAAACTTCACCAAAAATCTTGGAGTTCTGAACTTCAAGGAAACCCATGCAATGGAGTGATACGGTGTGATAGGACAGTGTGCTGCTTGGTGTGGGTTGTGGTGGGGGTGTGTTATGGAAATGCAGCTGTTGAGGGATGGCTGTGAGCATCTTTTGGCATGTGAGGGAGGGTTGTTTTGTTTGGTTGTTTTTTAAAGATGACTGGGGATTCCAGTTTTCTGAGCAGCTTCTATTAATAGATGCCTGAAATTACTCTGATGGAATGCTGAGGGGAGAATGAGACAGGCAGTTACCAAAGTTACATGAGAAATTAGTTTCATGTATATTTGTAGTTTGCTATTTGGTTAGTACTGCAGAATTTATTTCTAATTGCTTGTCAGACCTCAAGTTGCCTGTTAGAGAGTATTCATCAAGATGGATGCATCATTAATTCTTAATTTTCTTTGAATTTTAGATGATCATAGTCGTGTGAAACTGCAGAACACTGAGAATGACTATATCAATGCCAGCCTAGTGGTCATAGAAGAAGCCCTGAGATACTATATTTTAACACAGGTCAGTAGTACCAATTATTAGGTTATTCTAGGAGTTGAGAATCTGGGGGAGGCGGAATTTGTAGTCTTAATTTGTATTTGGATGGTTCTTTGTGAGTTATAAATATCTCATACTAACTGCCTGTTTGATCTACTTGGGAAACACATTATTTTTAAGAAAAAGCTGAATATTGAAGTATGACTAGTTTACTGCATATAAAGCTTTTCAAATATTTCTTGCTCTTCAGTTCTTTTGGAAATAGGTTGCAACGATACTTTTACCCCTTATTTCATCTTGCACCTTCTGAGCGTGCCTGCAGTAGCTTTTCTTCTAACGGCACAATAGTATTGATGCCTGAACTGAAACATCCCTTCTCTGAGTTCTTACTGTGTTGTTGTTTGGTTTTTTGGTTTGGGTTTTTTGTTGTTGTTTTTAAAAAAACCTTTAAGTACTGGAATGATCTGTGCAGTGTGGTTACTTTCTTGCCTGTCACTTCTATCATTCTATTAATAATTTGTTTAAACTTTTCAGAGGAAGACTTTTTCCTGTTTCACACAGTGAGCTATTAACTGTGTTCAGACACTGCTTTGCCTATACATTCTCCCACCCATTTTTTTTTCTTTACTACACAGGGTCCACTACCTAATACATGTTGTCATTTTTGGCTAATGGTATGGCAACAACAAACCAAAGCAGTTGTCATGCTGAACAGAATTGTTGAAAAAGAATCGGTAAGTAATATTAGGCCTAAAGTTGTAAAGTAAGCCACATAATTTTAATACAGTTGAACAATGTTTGATTGGTATGTTAAAAGAACTAACAGACTTTCTCACTGGTGTACAGCATAATGTATTTAATATAACATTAAAGTGATGTAGCTAAAACACAAAATTCAGTTTGGTGAAAACAGCATCCAATAAATATACATCCAGAAGGGTGAAAGTAACATCCTGAGAAAGGAGGATGTACAGATAGAAATAAGATGGAGTAGAACCAGTGTAAGATGCTCCAGAACAAAATGGAGGGTGAAAAAACAAGTTTGAATTAAAGTATCTTTAGATTATTTCTTCTAAATCTAACAGAGTAGTATATTGTTATTTAGTTATCTTAACTGTTTGTAACAATGAAGACAAGCTGCTGCCCAGCAGCTGTCAAACTGGTCTAGTTATTTTTGATTCTTTACAGCTGGTGGTATATGTGCAGAATACACGAATCTTCTCTTATGATGTAGTTTTTCTGTTAATGTGCCTAAAACCACTGTGGATTTTAGTTATAAATGCATGTCATTTGAGGTTTATGCTTTTTCTTCAGAATAGATTTGTTAGTGAAAAATATTTGACTAGTCCATTAAAAAGTCACTTATTTTCTTATGCAAAAATTTTCCTACAGAAGAGTGCAAGGCAAGAGGGATAAAGGGCAAGGGATAGTTTTGCATTGCTTTGTTAGTTCATTCTTTTGTCTCACTAGAATCTTCCAGTATTCAACAAGCCTTGGGAAAACTGGATGTGTTACATCAGTTATGTAAATGTGCAGGTGTGCATGTCAGAAATGGGAGGGGGGAAATGTTGAAATAGCTGAGTAAAGATCTGTGTTCACTGTAGAGAACTAGAGGGGGGAGAGGGAGAAGGGCTAAGGTATATCTCAAAACATGCTAGCCCTGCGATGAAAGAAAGCATAAACAGATAAAGCTGGAATGCATAATAGCCATTGAAACAGTTGTAGTAACTTGGCTGTAAACATTATGGACTTTGAGAATTCCTCAAACTGGGAGCAGGTACTTGAGTCTACTATATTGAATAACAGGGTCTCACAATCTGCTCATGCAAAGCCCAAGATACTAGGATACTTAACCAGATTTTTCTTTTGTTTTCTTCTTTTTTTTCCTTCTCCTTTTTTAAAAAAATAAATTAGGTGAAGTGTGCACAGTACTGGCCAACAAAAGAAGAGGAAGTTATGACATTCAGTGAAACAGGTTTCCGTGTGAGGCTAGTATCTGAAGACGTCAAATCCTATTACACAGTACATCTACTGCAATTAGAAAATATCAACGTAAGCTTTTCTCAGTCTGTATAGCTCATATTCCTGGGCTTAAGTATATAATGAAAACCATTTAGTGTATTGTCACTACAGGTTTGATTGAGCTTTTACGCTGAAAATTTTAATGCACTTTGCTTCTAATAACGTTGAAGATATATGTGTGGCATATAAGCAAGTGAGTTAGACCTGAATTAATCTATACATTAAAAGAGATAACAGCTTCAGCACTTCTATACTTATATATTCCATTTAGCAGTACCTTAACATGCTGAATTGTAATTGATGGTAGTGGTGATTCTAAGAGGAGCTGTAAGAAATACCCTAAAAGGAGGAACCTAGGAGTTGAAATTTCTGATTTCTTTTGAATATCAGAAATCAGACTCGGTAATTACTGGTTTTTAATGGAACTTTAGTTTTCCGTATAATTCAGTCTAGCTATCTAAGTTTTTTTGGGGGGAGGGGTGATTACCACCTGTAGATAGGTAACTTTATCTCCTCTTGCTTACCTCCCCTTTTGCTCCACAGGACCAACCATCCTTTTCTCTTAAAAATTAAGCACTTTGACAATTTAATCAAGTTAAGCTCAAAAAAATTGTTCCTGGCCTGAGCTTGGGTTGGAATTTGCTGCTTCTGTTTCAGAGCTGAAGACAGGATTGAAGAGCTTGTCTGTTTGTTCCAGCTGTGTCTTGTAAGATATTCTCTCTCCCTATAAACCTTGCCTTATATTAAATGAAAGTGCTAGTATGGCAAGTTTTATTCAAGTTTGTCTTGTCAGTGGATTTGGGAAAGGAAAGCTTGAAGATGTTGCTTTGCATGTTGTTTTATACAGCTAAACATTGATATATTTGGTCAAAATGATTTGAATTTACAGTAACTATTAATGGTAGTTTGAGATAATGTTTGTTAATTCACAACCTCCCTCATGAGATCAACATGATAAAACTTGGCATGTTGTTCCTTGGTCTATTCAGTGTAAGAAGAGCTTTATGAAATTCTGTCCTACTGACCTGAAGAGTTCCTGTTTAGTTGTTTGTTTATTGACAGCAAAGGCAAAGAAAAGAGGAGCAGTGCTTGCAAGCTAGTGCCTGAGAAAGAATAACTTTCCTTTTTGGAAAATTGAGGCAAGTTTTCTTAACTACCAAAAAGGCTTCTTTGTGGAATTGTCTAGCTGACATTGGCCCCTAATCTTAAACTTCCTATTTTCAAAGGATGCAATTTGCATGATGTATGTATGTTTGGACATAACGTTAGCTGGAAAATGCAAAAATCCCTTGAGGAACAGCACGTCTACTATAGTAGACTTTTGAGTTGGAGCTATTGAGCAGTTAAATTTCTGGGTTTACTTTGGACTGGTAATGCAGGCCCATCAGCGCTGTACAGAGTTTCTTGTTTGTCCTGTAGCTCAGTTTCAAAAATACTTAGCAAAATTACTGTATTGAATTTTTATTTTAATGCCCTAGCATTCCTATAAGGCTCCACAAATATTAACTCCAAAGAATATTTTTTATATAAAACAGCTACAAGAAGTAGAACATACTTGGTTACTTAAACAGAAAAACTACGTAGTTTCTAGAATAATACTGTGAATGTTAAGTGCAGCCTTCTGTAAGAATTTGATAATTACACCATAAAACTTGTGGGAACTGAGTATTCACAGTAACTTGAAATGTGAGCTTAACTATGTTTATACAAGTTATTCTGGAGGGGACTTTGGTGGAGGCAGAGTAGCAAGACATTTAGCCACTTGATGCCTGGAATATAAGATGACTCATGAACAAAATATACTCTGAATTCCAAGAATTCTTAAGAAATTTTAGTATTTCCTTGAAAACAGAATTAAAATCTTCTTTTTAATATAACCATTCTGAACTCAAGTAAATTTGTGTTACTGCAACAAATCTTTCTTAACCCATAAGCAAAATGCATACATATGAAGAGTAAAGTGCTTGTTTAATGTTCTTACCAGTGAAACAACCTCTGAATATTTGGTTGTTTTTCTTGGTGGTGTTTTTGTTTTGTTTGGTTAAAGAGTCATTAGAAGTACAGGTGGGGTTTGGGGAGGGGGGCACTGTTTGTTTTTTAGGATTAGATCAAGGCATTTGGTGGTTTGATTTGTTTATATCTGTTCTAGGCGAACATTTGCTTTTGCTGTTGTGGCTAGCATAGTCCAATAAAGCTTTGGAGAGGAGATAGTGTTTAATGGTATCTTTCCAAAAACTTTGAAAATATTTCTAATGTGCTTTCTCTTGCTAGTGCTTATTTCAGCATTTCCTTGTTTTTTTGCCTGACCCAGTCTGCATTTTAGAGTATAGAAATTTGAAGCTGCCTTTCCATCATGGTTCATTGTGTATCCTCCATCATTTTGTTGGTGTTATTTGTCAGCTCTTCTGAAAGTTGACTGCTGCTTTCTGCTGTAATTGCTCAGGTTCAGAACTCTCTTGAGGAAAGACTTGACTGTGAAGGCTTCCACAAACCCTTGCCTCTGTTGGAAAATAAGGGTGGAAGGAAAATACTGTGCTCATGTTAAAAATTCGTAATCATTTATGTGTGAACCTATTGCATGTCTGTGATTTGAATCAAAGTCTCCCAGTGTACTGGAGAAGTGATAGGTGTCCATGAGAGCCTTTTGTTAAATCTGTAAAATAACCTTATTGGATGGGGTTGCTAAGCTTTGTGACGATATTATGGGAGAATTGTTAGATATTAACAGCTAACTTCTGGAAGACTCCACCTTGTGTTTAATATGTATTTTTATATTATTTTTTTATTGCTGCTTTTAGCTTTCCTTGTCACAAGTATAAATACTGGTCTTCAGAGAAAGAAAACTTGTGTTTTCAGTAATTTCTGGTGTGGCAACCCAGATAGCTTGGAGAAAGATACAATGTGACACATAATGTATGCTTATAAGCAAAACCCCACTACGTTGGTACTGGGGAATTCGGGGAAGCTATGGGAGGGCAAATGAGCATCAGTACTTGAGGGAAACCAGGGATCGACTGGGTGAGGAAATGGAGCAGTGGAAAGGAATTGAAATTGCTGGAGGAACATTGATGAACGTATCTCAGACTAGGTTCCTAGAAATAAGAATAAAGCAGCCGAAGGAGAGGTTTGCAAAGAAAATATTTGCTGGAGGAGAAAGGACTAGAGAAATGAACTAGATTTGATGTGACGCTGGTGGTATGATACTTTAGAGTAAGGTCCATTAATAAACCCCAAGTGGAAACTTGAGTCCTCTGCAAATAGCAAATATTTGGAAAAACCCATTAGCAAAATGGATTTTCAACTTAATACCAAGCCTCCGTGTGGCCATTGCTGTCAGATTAAGGTGACGCAAGACTGCTTAGTGGCCCTCACTGTCTGATCCTGTGGATGAACGGGAAGAAGGTAAGATTTGCTTTGCTGCTAGTTTCCAATGTCCAAAATTAAAATGTACTGGGAAGATACTTTGTGGAGGCAAGCAATCTAATGGCAGGTGATGTTCTGGGATCTTGTGGTATCTTTGTATATGTATGTGCATGTAATTCCTATAGTGTTTTGAAGGGATTTCTGAAACACGGCAAACATTTGCTTTTAAACCTGTGAGGTGTCCTCATATCACTTTGACAAACTGCAACAGGGATTAATTTTGGTCTTCATGACCACAGAAGTAAGACCGAGGTGTTAGGGAAGGTGTTGGTGTCTAACAGGAAAGGAGAACCCAGACTCACTTGAATGTCAAGTGTTTTGCAAATTCAATGTGCATAGCTATTACCATGTTGACTTACAGGATGTGCACTAGTTATTAAAAAAAAAACCAACAGTGTCTGTGAGGATTATTTGGCCCCAATGCACTAGTTATTAAAAAAAAAAACAGTGTCTGTGAGGATTATTTGGCCCCATTATACTCATTGCCATTTTTATGTACATTTTGAAAACCATTTTGCCAAGCATTAGAATGAACAAATAGAAGAGGTTGTGGTAAAAGTTGATTTAAGATTCTGAATTTCAGTGCTTAGAATATTGCCTTTACAGCATGCCTTCTCATTTTTATATGATCAAATTAGTTTTTAATGCACTTAAGGCATGATCGTTAAATACAGGACCACTATGAGGTTGTAGGTGTATTTTACGCCTTCATATGTTAGACTATTTCAGCAGCCCTTAAACTATGAAATGAAGGCTTTTATAAGGAGTGTGTGAAATTTGACAGACCAGCATTTTTCTGTCTTCACCTGTTTTACTTGACACTGAAGGCATCAAATTCCTTTGAGCATTTTGGTAGTATTTTATTCACGTTCATACTCTCAGGTGACTGAACAGCCTAAAGTTATTCTAAGATTTTTTACCCTTCTGAGTGATTGGATAGTCATTGTAAAAAGGTTATGACAAGGCTTGTTTTGATGAAAGTTAGTCTAATGGCATTATATTATTTTTCTGCTCAAGTCCTTGTATGGATGTCTGCTTGTAACCTCGAGCATGGCTTGTGGTTTGATCATCCTTTGATTATGCTCTTAGTGTTGCCAGCAGTCAGTGGAGAACTGTGCAGGGTGGTGGTAACTTTCTGAGTTTATCAGTTTTAGCTACATTGGTTATTTACTGAAAGCTTAACTCAGTAGTTTGTGAAACTTGCGCTAGAATGGTTTGACTCATTTTCTTGAAAAGTTGTTTGTTTGAAAGTTGTTCCATGATTATCCAAGGATTTTTTTAATTTTTTTTTCGGTAGCTAGTCTTAGGGAATAAATCTTGGAAGAATATGTTGTGGTTACCATAGAATAAGCTGGTTTTCAGTTATCATGCAGAAGTGTGTTCCCTGTGTATAACATACATAAAATTTTGTATTACTGCCTAAGTCTTGAAGTCCAGCTTTTTTTCTTTAAAAGAATATCTAGTTTCATGATAACACTTTTAATAAAATTAGTTGTTCTTTAAAATTGAATTTTTGTCCATCAACAGTTGTGGATCTTTAGCAAGCCAAACCTTTTCTCATTATAGTCCTGCATCACTTCACGTAAGTGATAGCTGTGGTGCATGGCTCAGTGACAGGGAGAGTTCTTGAAGAAGGGGTGGTACGGGTATTCACACAAAGACAGTATTTCAGCTGTACAGCTTGACTGCCAAGCACCACTTGAAAGAGCCATTCTGTTTAAGAGAGAAAATGTGGGAGGTTTGAAATATTCAAATGGGGTTTGGCTGTACGATTAGAAACTGCAAGTTCAAAGAAGACCAGCCAGTTCTGGTGCTCTGAAACGGGACTCATGGAGAAAGATGAAGAGACTTGGTATTTTTAAAATGAGCTGAAATGATGGAAAATTGTGGGATGGATAAAGCCGTCGTACAATATGGGGTGGGAGAAAAAAAGTAATTCTGTGAGTTAGAGCTGAATGAGATGTACAACAGCACTGTTAAATCTTTCCTTTAGAAATACCTATTTTCAGATTAGTGTATGAGCAGGGTGACACTTGGCCATGTGCTTGAAGCACTACTGATTTTTTTTTTTTTTTTTAAGGAGGAGGATGCTAGTGCTTGTTACAGTATGGGATTTGGAAAAAACAAACAACCAACCCACAGATCACCTTTGTTTTCTATAGATAGGACATTTTTGCCTTCTTGAGGTATAAGGGAGGCTTTCATCTGGAATGCTATTTAAGAATCTTGAGGGGGAGGCAGAAAGTATCAGTTACCACTTCAAAGGATCATCTAGATTCACAAGAAACAACTTTAACCTTTGCTTTACCTAGTATGTGCATTTAGCTCATCTGTCCAGTTTTCCTCTTAGGTTTTTTTGTAAATTGATGAGTTATTTTTCTTAGAAATAGAGGAAATTGCTTAAGAGTGTTATCTGCTTGAAAATTCTATTTCCAGATTTCTTATAAAAATGTATCTCCTTCATGATTTTTAAACAAATGGGTCCTTTCAGTTGATTAGTGAATTAACTCACTAGTTGAAAAACTAGGTACAGAAGACTGGTAAGGTCTCAGTTGAAAATGAAAACTTTTTTTAATGCTTTGCTTCAGACAAATAAGAAAGGGAAATCCCAGTGTATTTATACAATTTAGGCCTCGGTAGATTTTTTTTTTCCTTTTGAAATCTTATTGTGTACTCATTTTCCCAATATGATGGATCAGACTCTGTTGTCCTGGCTGAGCTCTTAGCCAAAAGACAAAATATTCCTGGAAGAAAACTGTGCATTTGAGAGTGACTTGAGTCATGTTAATATCCACTGTTTTCTGTGAAAGTATTGGCAGTCTTGCAGTATCAGGCGCTGAAGACGCAAGACAAAATGGGAGAGTATTTTTGTTACTGTGGTAACCATGAACTGGATTATTTTAGTTTCACAAAGGAGTTTCATAAGTTGTCCCTCATAAGAAGTTGAAACAGACTGAGCAGGAGATGAACAGTAGAATTTATTTTAATCTCATAGCTATATTTTACTGTTGCTGAAAAAGGAAAAACAGCTTTTCTGGAATACATTGATATTTTAAATCTTGTGTTCCAACTTTGTGGAGGTTTATGTAGGTTTCAATCTATGTGGAAAATAAGATAAAATGGAGGGAGGATAAAAATAACTGAACCTTTCTAAAATTCCTGAGCTAAATCAGTGATCAAGTCGTCTCAAAATCATTGTAGCAAGAAAAGAAGGGAGGCAAGGAGTAGCATTTAACAGCAGGTCTGAAGTGAGTTCTATAAAGATACAATGCAGATTCGTCATCGGAGCTTTTCAGATATATACATACTTTCTGCTGTCATTTCAATACTTGCAGTTAGTTGGTCATGTTAGGAGAGGAGCTGCATGGTTCTAAAACAACTGCATGGTTTTGAAATCCTTCTTTCTTACTTACAAAGAATGAATACATCCAGTAGGAGTCCTGCTAGACATCCTGCTATATGGGTTCTTCTAGGCCTTTTCCATAAAGCTTTCTGTTCCTCTCAGTGGTGTGGTTAGTATAAAGGAGATGCCAATGCCTCTTGATATTAAAACTTGCTCTGAGCAAGAGTGGAGAGTGCTTACAATGCTGACGGCTATTTTTTCCAGTCCTGTTAATGGTAGCAGTCTAATAACTGCTGTCAGCCATTAAGCTGCATTAATGGTAGAAAAAGAAGAATATTTGGGGCAAGTAGTAAAGCAAACCAAATATAATATTGGAAGTTTGAGGAGAAGAAGAAAAAAAATGTGTATGGTAATAATTGCAAAGGGGAGAACTACCAACTTGGATGAAAAACCGCTTCAGGTTGCGCTGTTGGTTGTCATCCAACTTGAAGCAGGTTATTGGATTGTTTGTCTAAATGGGAGGTTTAAAATAGAAAATAGCTATTGATTTAGACTGGGGAAATGTGTGCTAACTAAACAAAAGTAGAATACTTTCTAGTTGTATTGTTTATTTGTTTTCACTTCTAGAGTGGTGAGTCCAGGATGATCTTTCATTTTCATTATACTACATGGCCAGACTTTGGAGTTCCTGAATCCCCAGCTTCATTCTTGAACTTCCTGTTTAAAGTCAGAGAGTCTGGTTCACTAAGTCCTGAACATGGACCTGCAGTAGTTCACTGCAGTGCAGGGATAGGACGTTCCGGCACGTTTTCATTAGTAGACACTTGTCTTGTTCTGGTAAGTGTTTGGTCACCCCTTTCCTTCTCCTGACACCCTGCCTGTCTTCCCAATATGGGCTTTTTGGTCAGAGGGCTTTAAAAGCATTTAAGTTAATGACATGCCAGTGAAAACTTTAATTAAGTGTCGTGGTTTAATCTCAGTCGGCAACTAAGTACCACGCAGCCGCTCGCTCACTCCCCCCCAACCGGTGGGATGGGGGAGATAATTGGAAGAGCACAAGTGAGAAAAAGTCGTGGGTTGAGATAAAAACAGTTTAATAATTGAAATAAAATGATAATAATAATAATATGATAATAATA